AAGCCCTACTCTCTGTAAGGGTTAGCACCAAAATAGATGTCTCAGGGGCTTATCTGTTCTTCTTTTGGTTGCAAGTGTGTTTTCCCAAAACTGAACTAGATTTTTAAATGATAAAAGTATTACCTGCATATGACTTTTAAGAATCTTAAGTGGGAGAAAAGAACAAACAATTAAAATTAAAAATACTCCCTCCCTGTGTCTGCAAGCCTCACCCCCTCTTCCCCTCATTCCCAGTCTGATTCCTTGTAGCTAATGGCTATGAACACTTTCCTGTACATGGTTCGAGAAAACACACACACACACACACACACACACACACACACAGGATCACAATCTGGCCACACCCTTGGGCTCTAGCCACAATGGTCAGACAGTTTAAATTGCATGTCTTTAATAATGAGTGAGGCTGAAGATTGTTTTTGTATGTTCATTGGCCATTTGTGTTCCTTCTATAAATTATTCCTGTATTTTATCCACATTTTTAGTGAGTTGTCTTTTTATCTATATTTTATAAGAACTCTTTGTATATTTTCCTCTCTCAGACATTTATTTTTTGACTTTATGATATATTGTCACAGAGCAGTTTTTCGTTTTTATGCTGTCAGATTTATCACTCTTTCTTTTTTCTTTTTTCTCCTCTTCTGTCTCCTAATCTATACCCATCTGTACACATGCAGAGGAAAAATGTTCAACAAGTGTCCACACAGGCCATTTCTAGGCAGGAGGTCTGGGTTGACGGGTGACTCGTATCTTTGTACTTTTCTATATGGCTTGATTTTTTTTTTAAAATAAAGAGCATGTATCATTTTTATAAAAAGTAGTTGTTACTTACAAAGAAACAGTAATCTTCTCCTTTGTGGTTTTGGATTTATTTCATTCTTAGAAAATGTTTATAAAGAATCAAATCACAATTTCATTCGATATCTTTCCTAATTTTAAACGAAAAGTCTTGAATTTTAAGAGGTTTTTTAAAATTAAAAATAGCATCACTCTGATGATTTATAACAAATGAATCACACATTATAGTAAATACACAGCAAATAATTAGAGCCAGTCAGAAGAGCTGCCATTTGCTGAGTACTCTGTACCCCTCAGTCACTCTAGGCCTGACCAAGGCCAATAATTTGCCCAGAGCTGGGACCCAAAGCTAGATTTTCTGACCCCAAAGCCTTCAGTAGAGCAACTGATAAACTCAATGATTTCATTATATTTTGCAAATCTAGATTTCCTAAATTTGGGACCTACTGAGTGGCAGAGGTACCCTGAAAACTGAAAAGAGGGATATGCAATTCAAGGAAGTGCTAGAGAAGTGAAAAGCAATCCAAGCTAGTACAGTGTTAATTTATACACGCACCCATAAACACACTCTTACTCACATAAGTGAAATCCTGCCATTTTTCTTTTGGATAGGAAAATAAGGTTTTATTGCCAAAATCTGCCATGAGGAGTTTCAGAAGCAATCACATTTCCATGGTTTTCTCACAGACCCCTGCTGCAGAGAGACGGATGGGGCGGATGACAGCTCTTTCATCAGACCCTGGGACTGCTGCCTCCCTTGGGTGGTGGCTCTGCAGGACTTCGTTTCATTTTCTCCATTTTAACGGGTTAGTTCCTAAAATACACTGGAACTTTTCTACATTCTACAGGAAATAAAAGGTCTTTTCTCTCTGGGCGTTTCTCTCACTCCAAAGGAATGAAGAGGGAAAAACAACAGGGAAAATAACAAAACCTCTTTGTGTGTACTTAAAAAAAATGGCTTTTAGACACAGGTCCCCTTGGAAGGCTGTGGCCACATTGTACCTTTCTGTATCTTAGGTAGAAAAGGGAAGCATTGACAAATGTTTAATAATTACTGTTAATAAATAGAAGTTGCTTACACTGGCAGCAGGCCTAATAGTTCACACAGCACTTTCCATTTTGAAACTTTGAGCAGTTCTGTGAAGTAGATAGGGTCTTTTGTAGGGTTTTTCTCTCTCTCTCTCTTTTTTTTTTTTGTAAGGAGCTAAATCACTTGCCTATAATTAAACAGCTGGTAAACAGAATAGTCTTGACTCTAACCCAGATTTTATGACTTCGAATCCAATGTTTTTTTTACTTTACCAAGCTATCTCTTTAATGATGATCTATATTTACTTAAAATACTCTCTAATCTTTATTCATCTCAAGAATAAACAGCAGTGAATGGTACCTATCAAACTTTACAAGGATTATAAAAATGTGTGAATTCCTTTACAACTTGGATACAGGGAAATACTAACTTAGACTGAAAATCTAAATGTAATACCAGGAAAGTTTGAAAATTTGAACACATTAAGAAAATTTGCATGGCAAAAAAAAATAGCACTAATTATAAATGAGTTCAGCAAGGTTGCAGGCTACAAAATGAACATACAAGGTAAATCAAAACAACCCTTTGGGAGAATGACAGTATGAATTAAGAACTGTGACATATTCATATCCCTCCTTTCAGCAGTTTAACTTCTAGACATTTGTGCCAGCAAATAATTCAAGAAAAAAAAAAAAAGGTTTTTGTATCAGGATATTCAGAATTATTGATACTAACAAAAAGTTGCAAACCACCAGTGTCCCTGTGCTCAATAAGCAGTGTCATGAGAAACCCGGCATAAAGCTGGACTCCTCCACCTCCTTCACTCCCACATCTGCACAAGGCCCCAGGCTTGTCACTTCTACTCCCTGCATATCCCCTAGATCTATCCCCATTTCTCCATTCTCCCTGACAACTGAGTCCAGGCTGTCACCCTCCCCTGCCTGGACTGCTGCAGTCACCATCTCTGAGCTATCTTCCCACTTATCTCTCTCTCTGCCACCCAGCCCATTCTCTATACCACAGCGTGACCCTTCCAGACTAATTATCTGATGATGTCAATCTTGCTGCTTGAAAACCTTCAAGTGCCCTTAGGAGGAAGCTCAAATTCCTTAATATGACTTTCAACACACACCTAAATGATACCCATCTTTGGCCTTCACCATGCCCATGGCCCAGGCAGAAGGAGCCTCTTGCAGTTCTCTGAACGTGTCAAGCTCTGTCTCACCTTTAGGCCTCTCCACGTGCTCTGCCCTACTGCCTGGCCTAGTCTTCCCCAAAAAGCCTCTCTTAGTGCTTTTTGAAACTGCTCTCTACATGAATTATCTTTGTTTCCTCACATCTCACTTGTGATACAACCAGGTTTCTGTCCTCATCATTGCCTCAATATTCCCCTCGACAAAGTCATCAATGAAAGAAAAATAAAAATAACAGAAAAGGGAAGAAATAAAGACAAAGAGAGAAAACGTAAAACATCAAATGTAGCACTATGTACCAGGCACTGTGCTAAGCTCTTGGCAAATATCAACTCATTTTTCCTCTCCAGAACTCCATGTCATCCAAAATGGTGAAAGGTATCAAAAAATGTGAGATAGAATAGATACCCCTTTTGTTTTTACTTTTCTTTCTGTTTTTCTGACAATTTTTCTTTGATCACTTTGATCAAAGAAAGTGATCACTTTGATCACTCCCTAGGTGATCACATCTCCTTAACAGACATAAGTGGATGACTTTCTGACCCATTTTCTGAGTTCCAGCCCTGACTATCTAACTGCCTAGCTGTCTTTCTACTTGTTTGCCTCACAGGCATCTCAGTCTCACCATCCAAATGGAGCCCACCCCCCTCCATCACCCTCACACCTGTTCCCCTCCGCAAATGGTACAAACATCCCCTCAGTGTCCAGACCAGAAGCCTGGGAACCATCTTTGACTCTCCTCCCCATAACCAATCCATCTCCACGCCCTATCAATTCTGCTCCTAAATCTTCTCAAAGCCATCTACTTCTCTTCATCCCTGCTATCTTCATCCTAGCTCAAGCCACCATCATTCTCAGTTTCGGGTCTTTCAATAACTTCCCAACCGGTCTCTATATCTACTCTCGGTGCAACCTCCCCAATCCATTCTCTACATATCAGCCAGGACAATTTTCTAAAAAAACAAAAAAGGTGTGAATCTGAGCAATGCCATTTATTGGCTGTGTACTGCAGGGCATATTGCTCAACCTTTCTAATTCTTGACTTTCTTATCTATAAACTGGAAATAATAATATGTCACAGAGTGGTAATAATAAGTGAAAGAGATAATCCAGACAAAGTTAGAGAATGGGGCACTCTAACAGACTGTGAGTAGGAACATAAATTGTTAGACAAATTTAAAAAGAAGTAGCAATAAAGTATTCTCAGTATCATGTCTTTACATATCCTTTGAAATAATAGGAATGGGTTAGCATTTATCTTACAACCTTTATAGGAAAAAATTTTCAGAAAAATTTTTTAAAAAGTGCTTTTAGCAAATGATATGATATGAAGACATCATGATGACTGTGATGGTTAATTTATGTGTCAACTTGGCTCAGCTATGGTGTACAATGGTTTGGTCAAACACTAGTCTAAATGTTTCTGTGAATATACAATATTTTGTAGTTGTGATCAATATTCACAATCAATTGACTTTTAGAAAGGGAGATTACCCTCAATAATGTGAATGGGCCTCATCCAATCAATTGAAGACCTGGAGAGCAAAAAACTGAGATTTCCCAGAGAAGAAGAAATTCTGCTTCAAGACTGCAGCACAGAAATCCTGCCTGACTTTCCAGCCTGCTGGCCTGCCCTATGGCTTTCAGACTTACCAGCCCCCAAATTGCATGATCCAATATTTATTAAAGGATAAAGAAATAATACTCAAATGTTGCACATAATATGAGAAAATCCCCCTCTTTTAGAGAGTCTAAGCTCTCTGTGGCCTGTGCAACCCATAACAGGGAACCAGCATCCTGCACTCACCCACTTGGCCATCTAATAAGAAAATCTTTTTTGAACATCTACTCTAGGCCAAGCGTTTTACTTATCTAGAGAAAATGACAAATCCAGTCATTTTCAGAGCTGCTATGCTGCTTGTATCTGTGGAAAGCATTGGGTCTAGAACAGCTTTGGTGGCTAGGACATTGCAGCTTACCTGCAGGAAATGGTTGATGGCTGTGTCGTGGAATCCCAGGGCTTGCTCTACACCTGCCAATTCCCTCAATATTGGTACACACTCAACACTTTTTTCACCTTTGCTGATCTCAATGTATTTCAAAGCCTCTTGATAGTGGGGCAAAGCTTCTTTTGATTTCTTCTGACCTTGATATACCCTAAAAAAATCAAAGAGATTATTTTTTAAATAATTAAAATAAAAAATACTGAAAATATACATGAGCTAGTAGTTAGGACTTGACTCTCTGACCCCTGGTGTCCAGGTTTGTTTCCTTGCCAGCTTAGCTTTTCCCCCAAGAGGTAACAGGGCTTAGTGGTGGGATGAATTTAGGGTACGGACTTTGGAATCGCCAGGAAACTTCAAGTCCTGCCTCTGCCACTTAGTATATGTATGACCTTCAAGTCACTCAAGTGTTTCCTCATCTGTAAGTTAAGGATAATAACAGTGTCCATGTCATTGGGTTATTATGAAGATTAAGTTAGTTCATATTCATAAAAACACCTAGAACAGTCTCTTACATATAGTAAGTGCTATGTAGGCATTGGAATTAAAAACATAAAGTACTTTATAAAGCGATAGCAAAAATGAAGGATGCTGAGATGCTGATAACTGATCTGTTGAGAAAATTTAAAAAGTTCCCAGTATTGGTGAGAATGTGAAGCACTCTCATTAACAGTTCAGGAGAATATAATTTGGGCATAAACTGATCTATATCAAAATTCTACATACATATATATATACACATACTTGGCTAATTCCACTTCTAGGAATTTACATTAAAGAGATACTCTGCCAGGGCAATAAGATACAGACAAGAATGTTTACCTTAGCATTCTCTATAATAGTGGAAAGCACTTAAAATGCACCAACAGGGGACAGTAAGTACATCTGCACTGGGGAATGCCATGTAGCCATTAAAGTTAATGCCGATCCACATTTACTGACCCAGGAGTACATCCATTCTACATACTTCCACAAAAAAGGCAGGTTACAAAAATATTGTATATATTATCTCATACATGTGAAATTTTTATATCTAATCTACATGTATACATTGCATAGAGAGATGTCAAAAGGATGGTCACTAAAATGTCTCTAAGCAGTTGGATTATGAGTGATTTTACTTTTCTTGTTTATGCTCTTCTAAATTTCCCAAATTTTCGTCTATGAAACTATATTACTTTTATATCATAAAAATACTACTTTAAAAATTATAAGTAAAGGTGGAAGTGGGAAAATATTCCTATAGCTTCTTAGGATAAGAATCTCTCATACAATAAATGTATCCCTGTATATTGTTCAGCAAACACAAAAATACACATTTAAAAATAATCTTCCCCAAAATATTTGTGAAGACTATTAAGAACCTTTTCTTTCATGGAAAAATTTTACATACAAAATTCATAATGAAAGCCCCTCCTATTTTGGCCTCTGCCCCAGAATCTTTCATACGAAAAGGCCTTATGATTCCCAAATTGCCAATGAGCAGACTGAGACAAAGTGTGAGAAAGTGACTAAAAGACCACAAAAAATAGGTCTTATTTTCAACTCAATCATTGGGTATTTTTCACACCTATCTTTGCTCTCCAAAGGAATTAACTAATAGAAATAAAGACACGTTTTAGATCTGTGGTCAGGATGGCCATAATGGAATAAAAGGGCTGATCGAACAGTTTATGAACTTGGATACCTTCTATAATTGTGAATAGGTTTAAAACATAGGAAGAGGTCAGGGTTTGATATATTCCCAGACCAAGTAGGGCTATAGCTTGCAGCAATTCTAATCTTGGAAGGAAAAAGATTAATAGCTGACCTGGTAACACTGGGCTTCCCTTCTCACTTTTATTGAGCTCAGAATGTAGTGGATAATCATTTGCAAATATCACACTTTATTTTTAGAGAGAAAACCCCTAGAATCTTTGGTGATAGAAAGCGGCTCTGAAACACATGGCTGTTAAAAAGTCATTTAGCCAAATAATTAGATTCCTAGTAGACAAAGCTTAAATAATTGGAAAGAGGGGTAAGTAAACTGTGGTCTGGGGGCCAAATCTGCTCACTGTTTGTTTTTGTAAATAAAGTTTTATTGGCACACCCATTTGTTTACATATCATCTGTAGCTGCTTTTGAACAATATGGCAGAGTTGAGTTGTTGCCACAGAGACCATATGGCCTACAAAGCCTAAAATATTTATTATATGGGCCTTTAGAGAAAGTTTGCTGACCTCTGGATTAGAATCTACATTAAGTTACTTTCAAAATGACTTCAGATTTTTTTTCCACCTAATTTAGTTTTGAAAATTCAGACAATGACATAGAAATTTGAGCAGAGGAAAACAATCGTCATCTTTTTCCTCTCTCAAGTTCATAAATGACACAGTATGCCAAGGAAGTAAAGAATGGGTCCTTTGTGCCAAACGATGCCTGTAAAAGTCACAGAAGAGTAATAAAGCAAATTTGATGATGTTTACCAATAGAGTTTCATGTGGGAACTGATTTAAAAGAAAGCAATAGTCCAAGCTAGTCCAAGCAATAGTCCAATCAAGTTCATAAGTGAGAAAAAAAAATAACAATTAATTAATTAATATATCAAAAGTCCTTTCCTTTCTGAGATAAGTCACTAAAGAAAAGTGTTCGGGGGTTTGAAATGGTGGAGACTGGGGATGACTTGTAGCCACCTACTGACTGCGTTAGCCAAAAGCACAGCATATTGCTCTAAGTTAACACCAGGTCACCCTTTGGGGTCTCCAAAAAGTCACCCTTCAGATACCTGGCTCACAGAGAAAATTTTATGGAAAAGAAGACAAGATAAAAAAGCAGGGCATTCTGTGCAAGTACTATAGCAGGAGTAGAAAACTCAAACTGTAGTCTGAGCATTCTCACTTTAAAAGTTTGGGAAAGGACCTAGCGTGGTGGCTCACACCTGTAATCCTAGCACTCTGGGAGGCTGAGGTGGAAGGATCGCTTGAGCTCAGGAGTTTGATATCAGCCTGAGCAAGAGCCAGACCCCATTTCTATAAAAAACAGAAAAATTAACCAGGTGTGGTGGTGCGCTCTTGTAGCCAGTCTCAGCTACTCGGGAGGCTGAGGAAGGAGGATCGCTTGAACCCAGGAGTTGGAGGTTGCAGTGAGCTGTGATGACACCACTGTATTCCAGCCGGGATGACAGAGTGAGAGTCTGTCTCAAAAGAAAACAAAAACAAAAACAAAAACAAAACAAAAACTTGGACAAGAGGCAAGAATGTCTCTGAACCTTGGTTTCCTCATCTGAACACTGGTGTCCAATAGGGTTGTTGTGAGAATTAAGTAAGATGTCCATGAAACTACTTTGCAAACAAAGGCATGCCATACAAATAGCATTAAATGCCTATATATAACCAAATATTTTGTTCCTTCTCCTCCCAACCTGCACTCTATATGGAATAGTCTCAGGTTGTTCTCAGTTGAAATGGGTTCAATTGTGGTCCCAGCTCCACCCTACCACCACCCACATAAGATTTGGGAAAGTAAAATTAATAGGCAGAATCAGTCAAACGTACTGAAATTATTGTGCAAGTGAAGTAGGCATTGTCTTATCCAACTGAGCTTTTAAAAAATTTTAGAATAATTTGTTATAAGAATAATATATATTCATCATTAAAAGATAGATGAATAAAAATAAAACCATATATAAAATTAGATCCCTCACACCATGTACACAAAGGTTCCAAGTGGATTAGAGGCCTAAATTTAAAAAGCAAAACTTTGATATGCTTGAGAGAAAATATAAGGAAAAGTAACCCTGTGACTTTGGGGAGGGAAGGATTTCTTATGTAAGATACAAATAGTACAAGTCAGAACAGAAAAGAGAGGTAAATTTAGTCACCTTGAACATAAGAACTTCTGGGCATCTAAAATCAAAGCAAACTATATATTGGGAGCACACACAATATATGTAATCAGCGAATAACTTGTTTCCAGAAATATAAAGAATGCCCATTAATTTATAAGAAAAAATGCAGACAGACCAATAGCAAATGGGCAAAAGCAGTGAACAGATAACTCACAGATCAGGAATTCCAAATGCCTAGCAAATATATGAAAAGATGTTCACCTTCACTATCAGGTAAGTGCAGTTAAAGAAATCATGAGGCTGGGCACAGTGGCTCAGGCCTATAATCCCAGAACCTTGGGAGGCTGAGGTGGGAGGATTGCTTGAGGCCAAGAGTTCAAGACCAGCCTGGGCAACACAGGGAGAGCCTGTCTCTACAAAAGTAAAAAATAAAAATAAACATAAAGAAATGATGAGATATAATTTTGCATCCATATGGTTGACAAAGATAAGAAGTCTGACAATATTAAATGTTGGTGAGGATGTGGAGTGATGAGAATTTACACACCCTGCTGGTGGGAACAATAAATTGGTGGAAAGTGTTTGGCAAACTCAGTAAAGCTGAACAAGTAAGCAACTCCACTCCTGGGAATATACCTCAGAGATAATCTTGTATATGTGCCCAAAGAGACATGGATAAGAATGATCATCCAAATAACGTTTATAGTAGTCAAAAACTGAAAGCAATTCACATATTCACGCTCATGAGAATAGCTAATTAAAGTAAGGGAAAGTCAGACAATTAAACCCTACATAGAGGTTTAAAATTAAGAGACTAGAGCTGCATGTATCAATTGGTAGGGCCATATCTCAAAGATACAGATGTCATGGGGGAAAAAAGCAAGCTACAGAAAGAAACATACATATAAAATTTAAAAATATGAAAACTAATACATATTTCTTATGGCTATACATGTATATAGTTAAGGTACAAAAACATTCAGAGGAATGAAAAAGCACTAAATTCAGCATAATAATTGCCTATAATGTTGGGGAAGAAAACAGGATTGGGGAGAATGCAGAACAGGCTTCCATTTATCTGAAATATATTTTGTAAGCTTAGTAGTGTGTACATGAGAATTTATATAAAAACAATCTATATTTTTATATGCCTAAAATATTTTATTAAAAAGATGAACAAATAACACACTTTATAGTTTAGTGTGTACAAAGAATGAAGCACATTCCACCCCCCTATTCCTTGAAGTTGCCGTTTTGTGGTATCACAGGGTCCTGGCACTAATGTGGCCAGAAATGGAGGCTATCAAACTAATACTACCCATTATGAG